AGTTGCACTGGACATTCTGCCGTGCTGCTCGACGGGATAAAACTCATCGTCGCCCAATGTCAGCAGAGTCCTCGAGTAAATCTCGACGAGTAGGATGAACGGGTACCAGTCCGTCTGGTACTTGCCGTCCTCCAGCGTAGATAGCGCAGCTCTCGCTCCGTCACCTTTGCTATCTGCCGAGGCAAGCGTCCTGGCCAATGCGCTGCTTCTCACCCACCCCCTCCACAACTCCCGCACCAATCCGCCCGATCCCCCTGGAGAGCCAAACATGGTGGTAGCAAAGACTCTCTCTCGCGCCTCTGTTGGCCAAGCCAGTAGCGTCGATAGCAGAAATTTGGTGAGAGCTGGCCGAGTAGAAGGAATCTTGTTGGATGCTGCCAAAATCGCTTGCAGATGATGAGGAGCCACGATGCCTGCCAGACGTTTGAAAGTGGCATTGTCCGGTCTGTAAGAGATCGAGACCTTTTCTGCAGCGGCCTCATCGACGTGCGACTCGATAAAGTGCGCATCTGCAGCTGTTGTGGCTCCGCTCGTCTTATCATCTAGTGCACCTTGGAAGAATGAGCGCGGGAGGGCGTCTTGCAGGGTGGACATTGCATCCAGGTAGAGTTTGAGCAGCGATGCCGTGTTGAACTGATGGACGCGAGGAGATAAGAGGGCAACAAGCGTGGCGAGAATGTGAGGTCGCGAAAGAGCTCCGAAAAGCTCGTCTGGCAAGTCTTTTTTGCGCTGGCTTGTTCTCGCCGACATTGACCTTTGAGATGTCCTAGAAGCTTCTCGGATTGCTCCAAGCGTGATCACCCGTTCGAGCACGTCGGTGCGCGGCAACTGAGACACGAGCTGCGTCAAAGCCGGCAAGGGCATGCGGGCTGGCAAGTTTGGCACGTTTAAGAAATGCCGAACAAAGGTATCGGTTGCCAGAGCGCGAGCTTGAGATGGTGGATCGATGTCGAGATCCATACTTTGCGCATCCACGTCAATGGGCTTCTGAATGGTGCCAGCGCTGGATGCAGCGAAGACGGTAAAGGGAGCAAGGGCAAGACTGACGGCGGGGGACAATGTGGGCGATGCCTTGCGATCCGCAGGCTAGGATGGGCAAAGGCGAAGTGTGCAGCGTGAGCACGACGACACTATCAAGGAAGTGCAAAAGAGTCGAGATTCGACGAATCGTCGTGCTGGCATACTCACGAAGAAGAGGAGATGATCTGCCAAAGCTTTGTGCAAATCCGCCTTGACCAACGTGTGCGCCCAGTGCTGAGCAAGCGTCTGGAAGGGACCTGTGAGAGGTTTGAGCTGTGCAGCCTTACCGTGAGGCCGTGTGAGATTGTGCAGGATGAGCAAGGCATGCTGAGCTGCTTTGAGCCTTGTGGAAGA